TGAGGAAGTCGGTAGCACAGGGCGAGGCACAATGTGAGGCAGTGAGGGTGCCGGAGCCCGTAGCGGAGTCGAAGACCCATCGAGGAAGCTTACTACTGAACCCACCGTGTGAGCACGAGAAGATGAGATGCCACATATGATGGCGTGAAGAAGAGCGGCGCATATCTTGTATTTTTTGCCGTGTCGTCATATCATGCAGCTTGGCAGTTCGGGCAGAGGCCAGAACGCTAGACGCAGCCGGCTGTCTAGGGATAGGCAACAGTTTTGCCAAACTCTTGAACCGAGTTATGAACACTCCGACCTAGGTTTTATTGTCAAAGATGAAAGGCACTCGACAAAATGCTCCATCCCATATCAGGACATTAAAAAAACATGGTGTTCTCAAAGGTGGGCTAAGGATTTTAGAATTGGGTATTCGAAATATACGGAGGTACTACAAAAATTTTACAACTAGAAGGTTAATATTTGACATATATAATGTCACTGAAGCTCAGGCTAGTTTTTTTCACGACCAAAAGGCTAACATCTGTAGTATCACTCTATTTTTCTCTTCATACTTAGGACGGACCTGAAATTAAATTAGGAAACTAGACTATATAACTTGGGGACAAACTCAGGCTAAGCGATTCACAAATTGCTATCCCTAACAATGAATAGGAAATTCGGAAGCCAAGCCAAGAGACATTAGAGGAACACTAAATTTGAAATTCGATCGCTCGGTCAATCGCTCGGGCGTCGAGTTGGAGTCTCAGACATGCGCCTCACTAGTCGCTGCTGCATGTTGCCGGTTACCGTCCTCCACCATCGGCCGTCCACCCGACGCCCAGCCCTAACCATCCCTGTCGCTATCTATAACACCCCAGGCGCCCGGCAACAAAACCCATCATCAAAGAAAACACACAGAAGCAACAATAAAAACAAAACTATGATTAAGGTAAGATTTGATCACAATGATTTTATTGAACCACAAAGTGTTTTCGTAATTGACAAACTAAGTTTATTACAGCAAGCCAAAAAACATCATTATTATCTCTAAATGTGGGTGAAACAGTGAAGATGTGCCGTTAGTTCCCTCCCTTCAAGCAAAGCATCCAAATCAATTACCTGGAAAAATAACGGGGGTGAGAATAAATCTCAGCAAGTAAACTGAACATGTCATTCAAACTATAATTTAATTAGACATCATTTAATCATAGAAGAATCCATGTCACAATAATAAATAAAAGGTCCACGATAAGATTATTAATTTAACAAAATTTTCCATAAAGAAGTTAAGGACATGATAAAATAAATGAACCACCTCCACATATGAATAAAACAATACTCCACATATCCACTTTATACCAACATTAATGCTTCATATATAAGAATAAACCTCAAATAGTGCAAATGCAATGCATATGCATGTCCACTGCCTCCATACCCAACAAGGTATGAAGCTGCATCGTACCCCTCCTTGGGCAACGTACGATCGATGCTGTACCGGTACGGTCACGGATAGCAAGCGGCGACATAATCCACAAGAGCACTCCGGAATAGTCATATAACTTTCTTACCGACCTATCTCAAGAGCACTCTAGAATAGTTATATGATTGTCTCACCGACATAGCTCGATGCACATGCTCATAACAAGAATGCACATGATGCAATGATATGATGCAACTGCAAGTATACTTGCCTCATCTGCCATATTCATCCACACTAATAAACATACACCACTTACCTCATGATGATAGACATAGGACAAAAGATTCAGCGATAGAAATCAAACAAAATTACTTTAGAAGTTAAGTGAACTAATAATTAGGTATATCATATTGGTTCAAGTAATGTTATGATAAAGTGTAGATAGAATGAACAACAAGTCAAGCTATAGCAACCACTGCTATGTTTACTTGCCTTCACTGAAGATCAAACACGTGAGCCAAGAATGATCCAAAGGCACACCACCTGTTCAATCACCATCACCTCAGCAAATATACTCATAAAAGCATAGACAAATAACACAAAGATCACTTCTATGTCCTATGCCATCATTTCCCTCAAAATAACAACCACACAAACAATCAACACCAGCATCTCTGCTTCACATTTTTACTACAGACAAATCACTCAACCAAAAAATGTGAAACTTTCTCAAAATAGAAAACAGCATGATCTACAACTTTCATGTTATAACTTTTGGAGTTCGAAGAGCCTAAGATACATAAAACAAGGCTGCAAACTAACTGAAGTTTTCTGATGACAGAACAACAGTAGGCAACTAAAACATACATAGTTGGAGATACACTGTTCCAACATATATGATCTTTAACAATTAAAGATTAGGAAATTACATATAACTTTCATGAAGACACACTATTTTTATTATGAACTTAAGCATGCATAACCTTTGGTTGAACTCAGACATTGAAATCTGCCTGAATTGTAATAGACATTGGTAGAATATTGATATCTACTAAAAAACTTACCCAAAAATTATTAAACTTTAACAGATCATGGATAATTGTGTTATACATAACTTTTCTTCTGTACACACTTCCAGTTAAAATCATCAAGATATCCTAATCAAGGTAGTAATATCAAACACAGAATCTGCCAGCAGAAACTAACAACTCACTTCAAATGCATACATCTAAAGTTATATTTCAGATATAGCAGTGTATTATACACAGTTGGAAAGATACCGAAAACCTCTACAACTTTGGTATTCATTTCAGAAACTAGTTTGACCTTTAACATCATCAAAAACTGAATCAAACTACTACTGTTCAGAACATCCTTGAAACAGCAACATTCACACAAAAAAATAACTCCTAAACTATAGATCCAAAATCATGAAATTTTACGAGCTAAAGGATAAAGGAAATTCTATAACTTTTGTGTTATAACTTTTAGATTTTAAGGACTGCAAGATAGCCATAACTAGCTAAAAATTTAACTAAACTTTTCTGACAACAGAAAATCAACAGCTGAATCAAACATGCATAACAGATGATGTATTGATCTAACATTTATGCTCCTTACCAATATTGAGATATGAAGAAATTTGCTACAATTTTTATGTAGATCACTTCACGAGATTAAGGACTTAAGATATCGTAAAACCGAATGGATCTATTATTGTCCTGAATTCTCACAACACAAATGCATCAACAAACAACGATCATATCTCTTAAACCATAAGGGCTACAAAGGTGATCTTTACGCCAAAAGAAATATACTAAAGTCTAATACTTAAAAATAATTTGAATATGATGTTGAGATACATAAAAAACAGCCCTAAACAGCACCAAGCCCACGACTACACAATCAGAAAAAACTGCAGGGCTCAATTTCGAGATTATAACCCTAACCCGTCAACTAATCGACAAAATTCAGTAAAACATTGCATGGATTCCAATCAAAAACGGTGGAGAAAAGCAAAATCTTACCCCCGTAGAAAAGAAAGATGAAGAAGCACAAAGATTGCTCTTCTATGTCCCTTCTCTCTCATAGCGATTCTCGCCGCTACACCTTTCGTCGATTCGATCTACTCCACAAGCGTCATCGCTATCACGAACAGCAGGGGAAAGTATGGAATTGAGGACAAAGCGCAAAGAGAAGAAGATGCCTTACCATCAAGAAGGATGAACGGATCCGGCGGCGGTTAAATCCTAATTCTCCACCCTCTACTCTCTTCTCCGTCTTCTGTTTCTCCCGTGCATACGAGCAGCGGCGGCTAAAGGTATGAAGGAACTAGTTTTTGTGGGGAAGGGATGGGAAAAGACATAGGGAAAAGCACCGGCCTTGGCTACTGTTCACATTTTTTCCCTCCTTGCAACCTTGTGAAATCTATATCTTCATGATCCGAACTCCAAACGACGCATAGAAGTAGTCAAGCAGAAATCATTCGACGAGCTCTATGCATCTATGATATTTGATCATCCATCCTAGCTATGTATAAAAAAATATATTGTGAACTTTTTGCCACTTTACGCTTCCCGACACATAGAACGTATTTTGGGGTGTTACACTATTGGTGTCGGTCAAGTCCCTCCCGCTGGCACCGACGCGCTCCCTGGTGGCGCCTCACGACTGCCTTGCCCCTGAGTCCGTCGTGCACGGTGTGTTGATGATGGTGCGCCTGTGCCGCTGCCACCGCCCACCACTCGAAGCTAGGGTTGGGGAAAAGAAAACACAAAGTCAAGAACGACAGCGAGTATGATGTCTGTGACCGTGGATGCACGTGGGGGACGGAAGCTAGGAGCAGGCATCACAGTGTCCTGACTCCTGTAAGCTGTGGCCTGTGGATATGAGCCGCTGGGCCTCATTGAGCCTTAGGGTGGGGGACGAAAACGAGTAGAAACATGTTGTTTTGGGAAGATTTGCAGTATAGGTATTCAGGTCGCTGTATTTTTTTAATATACAGACTTGTATGTATATAGTATATATATGAAATTTTTGTCATAAAATTTAGGTATCCAACTCAATACCCTTGAATACCAGTAGGCCCTCCCCTGGGTGTTCTATTTTCCAAACAGGGTGACACCGGCGTGCCCTTCCCCTTCCTCCTCTCATCTTTTACTTGACGAATCCTATACCATGTTAGTCAGCCTGTTCAGTTGGCTGGTTCGTATCGTTGCTGGTTCGTTTATGTGAGAGAGAAGTACTGCTGGCTGATTCATATGAACAGTGTCTATGTGAGGGGGCTGGCCAGCCCAGCCAGCTAGCCAGCCCCAGCCGAGAAGTATCTTGTATCAATATTAGGTCAAGTGTCAAGCAGCACAATTAGCACCAGAAAATGGGCCAGCGGATCGCGCCACGTCGCCCGTTCACCCGCTCACCGTTGGATCGAGCCAATTCGAGATATCAGCCGTTCGATGCGGGATCGGTTCGGGTCTCAGCGTGTTCCATCCAAACCTGAAATCTCTCGAACTCTCCGTCTCTCAGCTCAGTGTCCAGTGCTGCGCAGGTGCGGCGCGCCGGCAAGGCGACGCGAGCACGGACAACCAAGGCGATGCGGCGAGGGCGCGAGGCTGTGCCCCACCTAGCATGGGAGCCCTCCGCTTCCCTGCTCCCACTCGCACCGTCGCACGGTGAGGAGATGCTCGAGCTCGGCCCGCCTCCTCTCCTCGTCCTCAGCGCAGGGAGGCAAGTCGCCATTGTGGGGAAGAAGGCGAGCGTCGCTGCCGCGAGAAAGAAGGCAACCAGTGATGGCGCTGGCACAGCTCCCCAACGCCCCTGTGCTCCCTCCCCAACAGGCGGTATGCAGCGCACCAGCAGTTGCTAGCAACCTTGAGCACAACATGCTCGATGAAATGCCTACAAAATTTGGCTCTCTCCAGCAGACACTTGTTAATTTGCATGTGTAGGCTTTCTTTTTCTGATGCAAAATTTTGTCCTTTGATTCATTACCACACAATAAATTTTCAGTCCATTTGCCATGATGAAAGGCCATCCACAGAGTCACGGTCACACTGAATTTTGGCCTGTCGGCCATGTCTTTTCGGGTGGTGCCATATCCTTGTAGCACACAAACGTTTGAACAGATGCTAGGAAGTGGCAACGGTACATTCTCCTCTCGCTCTTCTTTTCGTGGATTTCGAGCTCAATAAGACACATGGTTTGAGATTAGGATTCTTTGAATTGCAAGGGAGCTTGCTGAATTTGTGCAAAATGGGTTGCAAATAGACAAATCCCATTGTTTCAAAGTTCAATCCATTAGCTTTTGAAGCCAATTTTTATTGGCAAATATGGGATTCCTTATTGTTGTTCATGTACAGAGGTGTTTTGGTTCAATGATATGGACTAAATGCACATATATTCAACTCCTAACTATCAAAATCCCAATATGGGATGCACAATGCTTATTATTGTTGTTCATGTACAAATGCGTTTTCGTTCAATGATTTGGACTAGATGCACGTATGTACAGAGGCGTCTTCACTTACAAATGCATTGAGAGACATTTGGTTGAAATGACTACTATAGTTGCTGTCCCCCGCCGTATTGAAATATCTTCAGAAAGTCATTTGAAGCCTGCTTTAGCTGGATGGAGGTCTTACAAGTGCACTCTACCTCTCTATTCAATGAAGGTATGGTGTGATGTTTCATTACATTGTTTTTGTTAAAACAAGTGATCCAATAAAGCACGTGATATTCAATTAAGAGCTTTCCTATATGTATAGTATCCCATTTTGAGATCTCCGTTTATAAAATATATAATTTCCCTTCATGAATCAATATCAGTAACTTTCTTAGGTTGCCCTAACTTTTACAAGAACAGATAGGTCAGTTTATGTTGGACATTGGTCAAGTAGCCATATAAGCATGTTACAGATTTTTAGTTGAGGCCTTGCATAAGATCAAATTTGTGACCATTGTTTCAGGCAGCAGGCAAACAAAAAAATCCTGTTACCAATAGGAAGTTTTGAAAAAAATTATGTCTTGGGATATATAGGTGGGCCCTGGCTTGCACAACATAAATTCCTTTATTGTAGAGAAGGCAGATATTGCACGAGGAATACTGCAGTAGTATATGAAATTTGCACCCTCCAAGATGTTGCATATTAAAAGTTTAAAACTTTTAAATAGCACAGACCTTCACAGCTGGCCTAGGATTGCTAGGATAGAACCTTGAAGCTAATTTGTGGGAGCTTTGAATGAGCTCTGGAAAGAGTGTAGATGCTTGGATGGGTGTATGAAATGATTAAGCAAATGAATTTTGAGCATTTTGGTCAACAGGCTGAACTTTTGTTATCCTATAGTAATAAAGAAAATCACATTACTTCATAAATGAAAAATGGAATGCCTATATAAGCCTACCAAATGTCATCTGAACCAGGATAGAGGCAACAATTAAAATCTCTATAATAATTGTTGTCTACAGTGATTTAAGCCTTTGCCTCTCTGCAGCTGTTGCATTCCCTTTGAAGAAGAAAGCATACTGTGTGATACTGCTATATTTTAGAGAGAGAAAAGAGTAAGATTGGAAGACAGCAAAGGCGCCGGTGCCACTAGAACCTATTAAGGGGTATTTTAGTACTAACTTAATTTATTTTTTCATTTGCTATGTTCAGAGTTGTCCCTGTTGTATGTATGTATGTACATGTAGCATAATATCAATCAAGGGCTGCAATAATATTTTGAGGTGTTCAGTTGCAATTATCTAATTAAAAGCAAATAAGTAGCTCATTAGCTACCTTATAAAAAAGAAAACAGTAGTAACAAGTACTAAAATTAGTAGTCACTATACTTTTCACCTTCCCCAACTTAAAGAAGTCGTTTGCTTACAGTACTATATGCAGTCCTATTAGCAAGAATGTAGATCCCAATATATATATTGATTTGATTACTATTATGACACCGTGCTTAAATGTAATTAACCACATCCATATAACAATTCTCTTGTATCCATTCCATAGCAGTAAATTGTATTGCTTACCCGATATGACCATAGAAGCTGCAAAAGAGGCTGTACCCCAAACCCAAGGCAACGATTTTGACCATATTTTAGTACTTATTAAAGCTAGGCAAGTATTATCAAGGTAAGCAAAACCAAGCATGCTACTCAGCTGAATTAGAGTGAACTAGCAAAATTAAAAATCTAATACCACTGTCATTAAAAAAATGACCCTAATGCTTCACTAAAATCAATAACACTATCTCATCGCACTTCTTGCTTTATTAGAGTGAACTAGCAAAATTAAAATCTACCGTGGCAATACTGCAGAAAATATTAACCACTATTAACATTATGAACAGTATTTGCACACTGGCCTGATCCAGCGTAGGCGCGGCAACGTCGCGCCACAGTTCCTAGTGGATCCATAAATGGATGTCGTCGATGATTTCTCCATGTGGATGAACTTTTTTTTATTGAACTATCTTTGTGCCAATTGTGAATTATTTATTTATCAATACCAATTGGGTTGATTATTATTTTAGTAGGCAAACAACGAAATGAAAAAAAAAATGAACACGTACACAGCCACCAGGTCCATGGGCATGGACAGTTCAACGGCTCAAAAATTCTAGAGGTACAAAAGTCCGTTTATTGAATCAGAACTAAACTTTAGTCCATAATGCGAATAGACCTGTGATCTAAAGTTAGTAGCTAAAGTTTAGTCCTAAACTTTATCTATGAGCATCTCATCTCCAATAGTTCCTAAAAATTCAGTTGGTAAATCAATAAGTTTTACAAGTGGCTAAAAAAAGTTGGAAGTGTATTTGGGTTCCTTAAACAATTTTTAAGATCTCGCTCCTAAAATATAGAAGATAATTTTGTATTAGAAATTCTAAACTACTTTCAATCACAACCACTTTTATACTTTTTTTTCTCTTGTATATTTGCATTGGAAACCCTGTCCTTCTCCTTATTCCTCCTCATGACCTTCCACCTCTAGATTGGCCGACCGATACACGCATGTAAATTTCCGTGCCGTTGGGTCGATTTTCGAAAGTGCCGAAAGATTGGGAGTTGAGATAAAGTGTTGTTAGAGAGCCCTCTTTTTCTTTCCAATTTCAATCTTGCCAAAAAAAACAATAGGATTTTGGAAACTCTTGGAGATACACAAATTAATTTTTGACCTGAGAATCCAAACAAGGCCTAAGTAATGATAACAGTCTCGAAGATTATTTGATTCACAAATGCACTCAAACTTACTGGGAGGTTTGTTCAGAAAATCCTAAAAAGATGCTCAAATTCCTTTACGAGGATTATACCACTGCATCTGCATGTGTTTCCACCCACCAAAATATAACCCTTAAAGCGAGTACAATAATAGGCTTATAGCTAAGCTAATGCTGACGTGAAGGAGAGAAGAGAGTTGAGAGAGAAGAGCTTGGATCTCATCCAAGCAACAAGATAGGCACAGAAGCATTTGGATTAGTGGGTCCAAGTAGCAAGTGTTGTTAGGAGGAACAGAAAAGAGAAATTTTTTTAAGACAAATTGGAGACAACTGTTGTATAATTTAGCTCTTATAACTTGACTTATAGCCAAATATTTGGCTCTATCATTGACCTTGCTCCAAGAACATCCCGAACGGGGAAGCGCTAGCCATGTGAAATCCCAAAACATTAAAAAAAATGACGTTAGAGCATCTCAACAGTACCCCAAACAGTCTCCCAACCCAGGAATTTTGACAAGATTGAAAAAAACTCATCTCCAACAACTCCCAAACCCACCTCCTAATCTTTTGGCACTCGAAAAAAATCACCGCCACGCATATAAAATTAGGCGCACGTATCATCATGCCAAACTGGAGGTGGAAGGACGTGCGGAAGAAAAAAAAAGCAGGACAAGGTTCCTGATGCAAATGTAAAGAGAGAAATGAAGTATAAAAGTGGTTAGTGCGATTTAGAAATAATTTAGGATTCCTGATGTAAAATTATCTTCTATCTTTTAGGAGCGAGATTTTAGAATTTGTTGGAGTTGTAGTTTTTTTATATCTCCCAATATATTTTCTAAAAGTTTGAAAATCTGTTTTTGGGAGTATTTTTTAGATACTATTGGATGTACTCTTAGAGCACAAAACTATACATGTTGTGAGAGAGGTTTTTTTGAAAGACATGCAAGACTAACTACTTCTCCGTAGCTAGCGCGTACTCTATCACCCTTCCGGCTAATAGAAATTCTCTATCACCCTCACAGTGAATGCATCGAGAACAACAATGTTTCATTAGCCTATGCAACTTTTCGTTTATTAATAGGTCAAGTTTAAAAAGCTTAACCAATTCTCCTAAAACGACTTATATTTACTAGTGCAGTGAAGCCCGAGATGTGCGTGTATAGTACTGAAACAAGTGCATCGCAAAGCACCGTGATGTGATCATGACACAGCATCGTCGGCTAATTAATTGGTCATGGCGTCATGCCATAAATTAATGAGGACCACCCAAGGTCGTACAACTTCCAATGGAGTGACTACCAGTAGAGTAGCAGTACGTTGACATGGACCAGCTGTGTGGGTTTGGTAGTGTTGTACTGTGGTAGTAGTTCTGCGTCGCTGTCGAAGGCCGTTCGACCAGCATTGGAAAAAAGAACATAGGTTGTGGAAAATTAGCTACCATGGCACCCCACGAGAAAGCGACGTATTCATCCGACCACTAGCGACTTCAATTTCATCAATGGATCGCACCCGAAGTTTAGCTTGGAGATCTACTGGATTATGGGGAGTGAGGAGTTGTTTAGTTGACGAAGCGAGTAGTGGTGTATAGCTAGGATTCAAAGTTAGGGTGTTCTATCTTAAATTTAAAACCAAATTTTTATAATTTTAGGCAGCTCGTCT